ATTTAGTTATATATATATATATTTTCGGAATGGAGGTAATCCTTGACCTAGCTGAGTCTAAAATGGGAGAAAAAAAAAAAAGGAAAAACAGCCATTCATTCTACTCTACATAAAAGTATAGAAATGCCTTGAAAATGAAAATAGATATGTTGAGGCTAGCATAGTACATGGATAAAATAATACAGGTTCACATGAGCCACATCTCATCTATCTGAATACGTCTTACTTTCTATAGAACTTAAAGGGTTTTTATTTTTTCCTCCAACTATTCCTCTTGGTCTTTGAAAAGCAGATATCTTTACGGTTGAAAGTCATTTGGAGAATTACAATGGTTTGATTGTTAACTGGAACATTTGTCCCTGCACACTGTGAATGCAACAGATCACGAAAACAGACAGGGCAATGCTGCATGCATTATTTTAAGTTTAGAGAACAGACACAAGAGTGTGCTTCTTGTGAAAAGAAACAAAACCCTTCCCAGAAGGTTGAGACATAACATACTATTGAATCTAAAGTATAAAGGTCCAGGGGAATATTAATATATACTTTTCAGTTATTTACTTATAATTATAATGATTTAATATGTGATACACTGAGAAAGGAGAGAGTGCAAAATACACGCACGCATGCATGCATGCTCAATCGTTTCAGCTGTGTCTGACTCTTTGCAACCCCATGGACCGTAGCCCACCAGGCTCCTCTGTCCATGAGATTTTCCTGGCAAGAACACTGGAGTGGGTTGCCATGCCGTTCTCCAGGGAATCTTCCCAACCCAGGGATTGAACCCATGTCTCCTGCGTCTCCTACACTGTAGGCAGATTCTTTACTGCTGAGCCCAGCAAATACAAAAATGCAAGTAAATCTGAAATTTTGTGGATACTAAGTCTAGAAACTAAAGACTACAAAGCTTAAAATGGTTTGACTTTCAGGGAGTCATGATTCTAACATTTAGCCACACTGATATAAAATAACATAACCAGTAACTCATTGATATATCTACTGCCAAAATCAGCCACCAGGAGAACAACACAAGGACACTTCCTGGGCAAAAACAGGCAAGTAAGTGAAGAGTTACTGAATGCCCCTTGTGTACCTTAAAGTTTTTCATTAGGTCATTCGATCACCTATCCATTCATCTAGGCAGTAAATACTTATTGAGCATCTTTTTTACACTAAGTTCTAAGAATTTAGCAGCAAACAGAACAAACTTCCTCAGCTCAAAGAGCTTACATCTGAGCTCTTGGCCAATTCCTCCAAGTTGCACAAGTATCTCTACGTGATCTGGCAAACACATCTTTACCATTCCACTAAGTCACTGAGAGAGCCATGGCGCATGGAGCCTGAGGCAAGAGGACTGGTGGGGAAAATATTGAAACCAAGTAGATGACCAGATGAAAGATGACAGAGAGAGCTACGGGAAAGCAGCAGGGCAGAGGGAGAGCCTGGAGGGAAGGGATGAGAAAGGGAAAAGATGGAGATGAGGAAACGCGCAGGAGTAGAAACGAGGACAAAGACAGAGGTGTGCACAACATCAGGAAATCCAGGTTCCTGTTCCTATGATTCCTCTCCTAAATGCAACTTTTTATTTTCCTATGTTTATATAACTGGAATGCAATTTTTTTCATGGTTATAGCAAAAGGGGGTTAACAGCCCCAGAAACCACTGGGCCATAATGTATAACACAGCAGAGTCTTGGATGAGAGACCAGGGTTTGGGTCTGTTCTGCGCCTACTAAGTGCATCTCCCTAGACCCTAGGAGCACCACTTCTCCTCTCAGTTTCTAAAATATAGCTATGCACTTGCCTCTCAAGAGGTACTGGGTGTCCCTAGTCAGCCTTGAGTAAATGGCAACACTGATCTTTGGTAGCAACAACTAGAGCAAGAATAACATTTGTTCTTATCCTGGAGACAGAACTATCAGGCAACTGTCATGATTGTAATGTCATCTACCACCATGGACCACCACGGACATTATCTGGCCTGCCTATAAAACTTGTTTGACACTGGTTTTATATAACTTATGAATTTTGCTAAAACATAGCAAAGTGTTAAAGGTCCTGGACCAAATAGATGATTTACTAGTCTTTTTGGCAGCTAATACCAAATTAGAATGTAGCATCAAAATTCAAATGAAATCCCTTAGTAAAAGCCTCCAATGACTTCACAATGATAATAGCAATTATTTCGATTCACCAAGGATTTACTTTGTATGCGCTAGTGACTCAGCTAGTCACTTTACCAAAACTCTGCCATTTAGTCCTCAGAATTACACTGTGAAGGAGATGGTATTATCACCAGTTCACAGCAAAGCAAAGTATCACTCAAAGCAGCTGAGGATTGTTTTTCAACCACACAATTAAGAAGTGGCGGATCAGAAGTGAAGCCTGGGGCTGTCCAGCTTATCTAAACCACTGTCTGGTCTTTCCACTTCAATACACTCTTGCTGGAGATATAAGGATTTAATAGTACATTTCCATTAGAAACATCCAATGAGAATTTAAGAACTCTGAAATGTAAAGTTCTAAAAACTAGATGTATATATTGTTCATGGATTAGACTCAAGATGCCAAGAATACAGTTTTCAGGGTAAGAGCTTCAAATACAGAAAAGTGACTTTGAAGGTAGCTATGCTGACTTATAAAACAAAACAACAAAACTGGTAGTTAATTAAAAGGGAAATGTCCCATTTTTGAAAGAAACATATGCTATTTATATATTTTGGAAGTGTACTATAAAGAACTGTTACTAGGATTTAAGGTTGAATTCTCCAGATACCTACTTACTGAGCAAAGTAATTAAACATGTTTGGCTTAAAATTCCAGCATCCCAGTGTGGCTTTCATATACAAAACTTGTCTGGTAATGTTAAAAACAAAAATAAGGAAACAATGCAATTAGTTGTTAGCAAGCAAAGCTAAAGCTGGGACAAGTAAAACTGCAGAATTAATTGGTCCTAACTGGGCAATAGCTCAGTCAACACCGAAGCCTGAAAACTCTTATTCTGAGAGTTAAACAGCCCTACACACCTCAGGAAGAGTCCCTCAAGAGACAGGATATGGGATGCTTCTCAGGTTGACCATGGCCATCATGTGACCATCATGGCCACAGAAATCTTTTCAGAGATATTGCGGCCCTTCTAGTTTGCTCTTCCAGAGAGAATTTATGGCTTTACTAATTTCTTTGCACAACTTAAGGTTTAGATTTGCTCCAGAAACTGCAATCTAAATTAGAATGAGCAACTAAAATGTCAGAATATATCCAAAGATGAATTGTTGTGATCATTTTCTCTGCTCTATTCATATTATTACTGCCCACGGCATAAGAGGTAAACATTGCTTCACCATGTTATGGAACCTCTGTGTGACTACTGTACTTATTGCTACAGTTCAAAGAAATGTTATCATACTAGCTAACCTCTTTCCAAGGTGACGAGTTGAATTTCAATCTTGGAAGATAATTTAAAAAAAAACAAAAAAACCACAAGAGAGGCTTTCTGGTTTCTCCACTCCAGTAATTTAAGATAAAATCAATCCTTAAGAGTAATAAGACACATTTGAGAGTCTGGGATTGACATGTACACATTGCTATATTTAAAATAAAATGCCTTTCCATTAAAAATATGATCATAAATTAAAAAGAACAAACATTTTGCTTCTTCATCTAGTCACAAATTGAGCTGAAAGGATAAATGAAACAAGCAAAAGTGAAAGCCTTGAATAAATAACCTTTTTTTTTCCTTTTACTATATAATGGCTAACTCCTTTTCATGTGATATATAATTATTATATAAGAAGGGTACACAGACAGTATTATACTTTATAAATCATTGGTATATAAATGTAGATTCCCCCTCCTCCAATATTTCTCTGTGAATCTAAAGATACTATATGATTGTAGCCCACCAGGCTCTTCTGTCCATGGGATTCTCTAGGCAAGAATACTGCAGTGAGTTGCCATGCCCTCCTGCAGGGGATCTTCTTGACCCAGGGATCGAAACCGCATCTCTTATGTCTCCTCCACTTGCAGGCAGGTTCTTTATCACTAGTGTCATCTGAGAAGTCCATATGAGGTGTCATAATGTATCTATTAACCTAAAATACTTAATTTTCACTAAGGTCTTCGCCATGATCCTCTACCTTCCTACCCTCATGAAAGAAGCATATGCATAAACCCCTTAGATTATACCGAATAAGTTATCAATTTTCATATTTCGCTTCCCCTGTTATGCAACTTATCATCCTAGGTTCTTCATTAGTCAGGCACCCAACCAAAAACTTTTCTTTATAGTTCACTGTCAGTATACATATCCAAAGCCTAAATCCAAGGGGAGGGGAAGAAGGTCAGCACTTAGTGAAAGAAAAATAAAATGATGCACCAGTGGGTTAAGGAGATGGGGGAGAAAGAGACTGAGAGTCTGCCAAGAGCTTGCTACTGGCTGGGAGGTGGGAGTCCAACTTTACCAGGCAAATCCTAGCTTGCAGGCAGTGCAGAATAAGAGCAGACATGAAGACAGGAATTCATGCACTTCTAATTAAACATGTTTCTTCTGCAAAGGCAGTCAACCTCGATAGTGCTACTATTAGAGGCAGAAGGTATTCAACAATGAAACAGAATCGTCTTCCTTCACATCAGATAATTTTGTCAGATCTGATAAAATTTAGAACTTAACCAAGCTCTATCTCTCTGTGTTCTTGTACTCACTGAAGGTATCAAGAACAGTAAAATGTACCCCTTAGACTCATCCCATCCCTTTGCTAAAATAATATTTCAGAAAAGTCTGAGAGTTCAGTAAAGCTCTTCAGAAGCTGTCCTGAAGAAGTCATCTACAACAGTGATTGAAGTGAGGGAAAGGGAAATTAAACCACTTGTACCCCTAACATCCACACTTCATCACATACCCAGGATACTAGTTGCTAATTGGTTCTAACAAAAAAATGGGGGGGTGGGGGATAGGAGACAGGGCTGCCATTCTGCTCAAGCAGATCATTTCGCATACTCTACCTGCACCCACCACGAGGGCCCTGGGCTCACAACTGCGGATGCAATGCAGGAGGGAGACCGATCGAACGTTGGAGTTGAGGAAGGCCACCACGCAGCCCAGCTTGGCTAGACCAAACCACACGTGAATGAAATCCGGTTCATTGCTCATCAGCAAAGCTACAGTATCGCCCCTTTTCAGCTGGGAATGGTTCCGGAAGACATGGGCAGCTTTATTACTTCTCCTGTCCACATCCTCGTAGGTGTAGATGTCTCCCTCATAGATGATGAAAGGTTTCTGGGGGTGCTTCTTGGCCTGGATCAGGAATTTACCCAGGACAGTGACTGGCTCCCCTTGCTGTCTGTGCCTCTCTGTCCAAAGTCCACAGCGAACCACCTTCAGCAAGTACCAGAGGTCACTCCAGAAGTAAGGGTACAGGAGTTTCTGCAAGAAGCTCAGGAAGACCATTCCAGCCCCTAGTCCTGTTAGCCAGGGCAGGAACGCGGGGGCCGCAAGACCAGAAGGCAGCCCAGATTCCCGTTCTGCCATTGTTCTCTCCGGGGCACCTCTCTGCGGAGGCCAGTCTGCGGTGTGCAGGGCTAGCACCTGCAGTTCGCCCCAACCTTTATGGGAGGGAGAAGAACTCTTGCGAAACTGAGTTAAAAGTCTTCTGCACAGAAGTTGCTCCAAAGAATGCTGGGGATAAGGCCTAGGACACTTGGCGGACGAGCAGTTAGAGCGTGAGATAAGCTCAGGGGCCTCTGGCGGGGATCGAGGAATCCGGCACAGCACACATTGGCGTCTGAACCCCGACGGCGGCCGGCGCCCGGCGGGGTTCTGAAGACCCTACCAGTTCTCTCCGGGCTGGCTGGATCAGTCCGCGGTGCCTTTCAAGCTCCTGCGCATACCCCACCACCCTCGGGGGCAGGTGCTCTCCGGTGCCTGCAACTTGGAGGCTGAATTCCAGCCGACAGAAGCTTGGGTGGCGAAGACTCAGATACGCAGCGGTTTTCCGCCTCGATGCTGCAGAACCGCGCAGGGTGTCGGGGCCACGCCTCCGTCCAGGGTGTCCCCAGGTCTTGTGGGATCCCAGGGCCCGCAGCGCCGCCCCGGCTGTGCCCCGCGCAGCAGCCCAGCGCCCTCCGGGCAAGATGAGCCCCCGCGCTGCTCCCAGGTGACCGCTGCGCCCGCTGGAAAAGCTGCCTCCTACGCGGATCGCAGCTCCCCTTCTAGGTTCTTGAGCTGGGGTATCTTCTCCTCCAAGCCCCGGCGGAGGGGATCGCCTCCCGCCCGCCTCCGGGCGCCGGGCCAACCCGGCTCCGACCGCGGTCTCTGGAGCAGCTTCCTCGGCCCGTCCTCCACTGGCTGGTGTGCAGCGACCCGAATCCCAGGAGGGAAGCCGCACGGCATGGGGCAGAGGGCAGCCAGGCTCCTGGAACCGGGTCGGGGAGTTCATTCATTCCATAAATGGTCAATAAGGAAATTAAACTAGAGGCTACAAAGGCGAGGGAAGAATTAAAGAAAAGAAAAACTAAAGCTGCTAGCAGAGCGGGGCGAGAGGGGGCGTCGGGGGCGGGAGGATAAACAGGCAGCAGGGAAACAGGCGACGAAAAAGATATTTATGAATTTCACAGAGGCAGGAATATTTGAACTCTGTTCATAAAACATCACAAAGTGAGTTTGCGGTTATACAAAAAGTAGTTTTGAAAACTTATATTAGTAGGTTGGTTTTGACGTTTATACTAAAGTTCAGTTCTTAGAGTGCCTTGATAGTGCTTTTTACAAAATTTTCCAAAAGTACTGTTTGAGGTGAGAGCTTAAGTCCATATTCACAACCACATTAAAAAAAAAAGAATAAAATGATTTTTTTCCAGTGAGATCCTTTAAAAAATGATCAGAACATCAAACTAAAGATTCTAAAAGAGGGTAGGGCAAAGTGGAGAGGCAACAGGTAATTAAAAATAACAATAAATTTTATACAACGGTGAAATTTTGCTAAAGATAAACTGCTGCTGCTGCTAAGTTGCTCAGTCATGTCCAACTCTGTGCGACCCCGTAAACGGCAGCCCACCAGGCTCCCCCGTCCCTGGGATTCTCCAGGCAAGAGTACTGGAGTGGGGTGCCATTGCCTTCTCCGAAGATAAACTGAGGGGTACTTAATTACATATTTTTTTCCTTGCAGATACGACCATTCCAGCTCTCCGCCTTTCAGAAGTGTGTATAAATGGTTAATTGCACATATTGAAATAATTAAGCATTGCCTCACTTTGTCAGCTTTTCCTTCTTCAGTCATGTTCTCCATCTGGGTTCTAGATAACCTCAGATTTCCTAATAAAGAAAAAACTATAACTCCAAGGCAGACTTTGGTTTATTAATCTGAAAATGATTACTTTGAAGTCACAGTGAAGAGCTTAAAAGAATGAGAGGCTCTTAAAACTCTTTTGTGTAGATCAAGAAAATCCTTTCTAAATTTATTCAGAAACACTGCTCTTTTCAATTCAGAAACACCTTTCCATTTAAAGAAAAGTATTAGTATCCAGTAGTTTAAAACTGAGAAGTTAGTTTACAACTTGAAAAGCATCTTTGACATCCTATGCTTTTTTTCCCTAACTCAAGTTTGAATCAGACACCTCCTAGAAAACAATAGTTGAAGCAGAGAGTAGAATATGTAGCAGTTGGTCTCAGACTTTTGAATTCCAATACAAGTAAAATCTGTCCTTCTCTAGTGGAAAATGAGTAAAGAAACATAGGTGTGCCATACTTTTAATATGTAAAATTAAAAACATTAAGCTCACACTAAAACAATTATCATCTACTGTCACCATTGTTTCATAAACAGAATTTACTTCAGCATTAAAAAGAAGAAAAGGAATACCATTATAATAAAAGACATTCTTTGAGAATAAATTGAATTAACTTCATGAAAAACTCATGTTACACTGATTTTTCATATTATGGATCTCCAAACATGATCACAGGGCATGGAACAAAACTGTTAGTAACTACTGATATATGTGAGTTGAGAAAATATTTGGCACCATAAATGTAAAGCAGTTTGATTTATTAGGAAAACTTAAAACATATGTTGCCAAAATTTATATTGGCCAAAGCCAATTCTGTGCCTGAACTCTCACCACAAAAGGAGTCAGTGATCATCTCAGGACAGCTAGAAGTGCTGTGTGTATTTCTACATCAGCCCGTGAATCTGTCTTCACTTTTTCCAGGGATGTTGATTCACTTTCAAATAATGTCAAAGACAGCTAAGTAAAGATAGATATAATCATTAATTATAAATGTTAATTATTACAAAATGGGGGAAAGACAGTAACAGTAATTACAAGTAAGCTTATCACTTAATTAAAATAAAGAGAAATAAACACACACACATAGTCCAGACATTTCTGTTAACATTACTTTCAATCAAGGACAATACAATATTTCTCAGGTTCTCCTTCAGGAATTATAAAAAAATTTATTTTTTAATGTAATTTGAAAATAATTATTGTGACTAAATACAAATCCATGTAGAAGAAAAATTCTGCTTATCTTCAGTCTAAATATGCTCTACTCTACCCCTCTCTCATTTCTGATTTGACTTTCCTCTCTAATCCACTCCTACCCACCTTGGTAGCCTTAGTTATGTTGAGGATGAATTGTTTAGTGAGTAGATCAAAGTAAAACTGAACAAAGCTTCATATGATGAGTCATGGCTCATCTTGATGCCTATAGGGTTTTACCAATGTAAGTTAAACATTTTGACTTTGTGCAGATCAATTACTTCTGTCCACGTTTTCTGATGAAATTGTATAGCAGCCACATTTTAAAATATGGGAGGTCTGGGGGAAAAGGCAGAGGTTTAGAAGGGCACCAGATGATGCTCCGTTGGTACCAAAATACCACAGCAGGTATTTGCACTCTGCCAAGAAGCACTGAGTTCCTACACTGCAGCTGGCACATGGGGAAAGGGTGGGGATGGAGTAGAATGTGTGAGGAAGAAAGATGCTGAAAGGAGGGTGACAATTGCTGAGGATCAGATTTATTCCCTTTAAAATGCTGTTAAAGAACAGACTTTTGCTCAGGTTTTAATTAGTGTTTTACTCTCTGATCAGAAATGTTTTTTTTTTTTTAAATGGGAAGCTTACAATCTATTTGTTTGTATTCATGAACAATTATTGCCCACAATATTATTCCTCACAAGGATACATGAAGTGAACTCAACATTAAAGATGATGAGGCTTGTTGTTAGAGAGTCGGGAGGCATTAACTTTATCACATGTCTTAGATACACTAAACACTTCGTGAAGTATAAAATTTTTATAGTAGGAAACAAGTGATTCAATAATAATAGTCTGGGGAACAATTCCCAAATAAATTAAATATTTAATTATCATTTCTGCTACAGACTACAGATTATGCCAAGAAACTCTTGCCAGTCAGAACTCGGCCAGGAAGACACTTTACACTCGTATTTTATTCATGGATTTTTAAAAACAGTTTGCATATGTCCATATGTCCAAAAATATGTCCATATTTTTGTTTATGATAACTTCCTCAGTGTTGGTGAAATACACTATTTGGAAAAGATAAAACACTTACATAGTGTTTTATCACTGATTCTGAGTCCTCAGTGTAGCCTCATTTCTATTTTAATATAAACCATCTTTATTGACTGGTTCCAAATATGAAAAGGAGTACGTCAAGGCTATATATTGCCACCCTGCTTATTTAACTTATATGAAGAGTACATCATGAGAAATGGTGGGTTGGAGGAAGCACAAGCTGGAACCAAGATTGCCGGAAGAAATATCAATAACCTCAGATATGCAGATGACACCACCCTTATGGCAGAAAGTGAAAAAGAACTAAAGAGCCTCTTGAAGAAAGTGAAAGAGGAGAGTGAAAAAGTTGGCTGAAAGCTCAACATTCAGAAAACTAAGATGATGGCATCTGGTCCCATCACTTCATGGCAAATAGATGGGGAAACAGTGGAAACCGTGGCTGATTTTATTTTTCTGGGCTCCAAAATCACTGAGATGGTGACTGCAGCCATGAAATTAAAAGATGCTTACTCTTTGAAAGGAAAGTTATGACCAACCTGGACAGCATATTAAAAAGCAGAGACATTACTTTGCCAACAAAGGTCTGTCTAGTCAAAGCTATGGTTTTTCCAGTGGTCATGTATGGATGTGAGAGTTTGACTATAAAGAAAGCTGAGGACCAAAGAATTGATGTTTTTGAACTGTGGTGTTGGGGAAGACTCTTGAGAGTCCCTTGGCCTGCAAAGAGATCCAACCAGTCCACCCTAAAGGACATCAGTCCTGGGTGTTCATTGGTAGGACTGATGTTGAAGCTGAAACTCCAATACTTTGGCCACCTGATGGGAAGAGCTGACTCATTTGAAAAGACCTGACTCATTTGAAAAGACCCTGATGCTGGGAAAGACTGAGGGCAGGAGGAGAGGGGACGACAAAGGATG